TCACACCCCTATATAAATACTATTTAAAAATTGATCTACATTTATTTATCACATGATGCCTCTTTATGGTAATTGTTGACTCAGGATAGCCAATGGCTTAACTGTCCCTGCTGAAGCTTCAAGACAGGTTTAGACTTTTTTCTTTGTTTTTGTCTCATTGGGCTAATCTGGTTTAATCAAAATTTATATTTTGATTGGCCGTTAGTCACATGAATGCAACTGGCTTTAGACAGTCCCAAATTTAGAATAGTCTCCCTTGGAGGGTTAAGAGTCGATGCTATGGTTAGAGACAACCAATCACAATAAAAGCCCATGACTTGAAAATCATTTATATATTGTATATCAAAATTGGTTTGATCTTCAAAAATCGAAAATGGAATATCCAGAACTTTTACAGGAATTTTTTTGCAAACTAGAAAATTACGAAAACAAAAAGTCTCAAAAACTTATAAGCTTAAGAATTACTTAAAAACTTCTGATCTTTTAGATAAAATAAGGGTAAATAAATAAATAAAATAACAATTGTAAATATATCAATTATTTATATTCTTATAATTTTAGTGTAAAGAAAATCAAATACAAAATTTAAGAGATATTTTGGAAATCTCTAATTATAGCATACAACGGTATTTTAAAGTTTTAAAATTTAAAAAAGCTTTCTTTTTTTTTTTATTAAAATTTTTTTATAAAATTATTAGAAAATTCCTATTAAGGCCGTTTGAAGTTAATTTTTTGGTTAACATCACTTTCCAGAACTCTCGAAAGGGAGGAGGGGTGGCAAATGAAACAAATATATAAAATGAACAAACTATTTTTAATGTAGTAAATCTATTATAATGAATTGACTGCAAGCTAAATTTAGTCTAAAGATTCTAGTTGAGTTGCTAATTAGATCAGATAAATTTGATTCAGTAGTTAACATTACATTCCTATTATAAAAGAGAGAAGCAAAAAATAAATAAGTAAATAATTAATTATATAATGCATTTATCTGAGAAAAACAACTTCATATGCATAATTTTTACAGCCAAAATTCTCATGATCTAGTGATCGGATCTGCATCATTTTTTAAGCAGCAATCACAGATCGGAATACTAAATCACTGGTCAGATGGCTTAAAAAATGTAAAAAAAGTATCGATTCGAATAATTGATTTGTAATTGTTATTTCTGCAAAAGTTAAATGTTTATTTAAATATTTCTTATTTCTTCTTACTGATTAATACTAGTTCTCTCTTCACAATCGAATAAAAAAACACCTCAGAAGCTTTTTTTCAGCAGTTTCTTGAATCGTTTCATCACAAACTAAAATAAACATATATGAGAGGACAGCCAAGTGGGAACTAAATTGTTTCTTTTTTTTTTTTAAAAAAAAAATTTTTTATTTTTTTATTTTTAAATTTGGTTTAATTTAATTTATTTTAAATTATTTTAAATTATTTTATTTTATTTTATTTTATTTTAATTTAATTTATTTTAATTTAATTTATTTTTTACTTTTTTATATGTTCATTTTACCGGGGGTGCCAAAGGGGAAAGAATTACAGGAAAAAGTCAATTAAGATAATTGATATGCTAAGTGATAATGAGACGGTTGATGAAATGATCGATGAAACGGTTGATGAAACGGTTGATGAAATGATCGATGAAACGGTTGATGAAACAGTTGATGAAATGATCGATAAAACGGTTGATAAAACGGTTGATATCAGGGTTAGTATTAAAATTAGATACAATGTTATGCTTAGATTTTTAAGAAATTTTTTTTGTTGGAGTGGTTTCAAAGATAAAATCTTATACAAACATGTAATTACAAATAGGGATTTCTGTTAGTTAATAATATAATAGGAGCATAAATATATAGAACAATAAAAATTTAGAAATAAACTAGGAACTGGAATAATATATTACAGTATTACACAAAGCATAAGTATGCAATATTGAAATGGCGATTTTGATGTTTTATTAATATGTATCAAAATCGTAGTTTTTGATCATCAAAGTGCATAAAAATATTAAAAATATGAGTTGACTTTCGTTCTGAACAATAACCAATTTTTTTAAAAATGTTTTGATTCCATTCAAACCGAATTAAAATCCTCTATTTATTACTTATTAAAGTCAGATGATGTTTTATGAAATAAAATCTCCTGTCAACGAAAAAACTGCTACAGAAAACTATTTCATAGAATAGATTAACTCTTACACTTTGGTATCTTTGATGGTAATGATTTTGTTTGTATGATATCATTAAATTTTCTTTTTAGAAATTGGATTGTATCATGATTATATTTTACTTTCAAAGTATTTTGTACTTCAGACTTAATGATTGTCTGTTCATAATTAATTTTAGAATTTTAGAACAAAATAAATCAAGAGTTAAAAATAATAAGGTTTACCATAAATTTTAGTAGTCTAAGCATTCCCGACTTCATAATAGGAATATTGTTTGGATGAGAAGCAATCTTAAAGCTCCCAAATTCTTCATATATATAGACTCCATCTTTCCACATTATAACCATTTTGATTTCAAATAGGTAACCTAAAATTCCAAAAGCAATACGATTGTTGTAATTAGTGTTGCCCTTTTCTATAGAATGTAGAATTCTAACATTGAGACAATCTCTTAATTTCTGATATAATTTGAATGAATCTATTAATAGTTTAGTAAGGTCATGTTGGTTAGGAGGTCCAGCTTGCTCTTCTACAAAGATTTACTCTTCCGTTTCCCACAACCATGCTAGCAAATCTTCTGCTTTATTTTTATTTTTCCTTAAAATTTTAAACTCCATGACAATTGACATTTCAAATTTTACATTTGAAGCTTCCGGGTGAGTTTCAAATTGAAGTGCTCCAATTCCTCCTCTCTATTTGAAACTATTTTGTATCTGCAAATTTTCCTTCTGCAATTTTGTCTTTAGTATAATTTAATCCATAATTTTTTCGATATTTCAAAGCTATCACAGGAACTTCTATACTAAGAACATGTAAATAAGCAAACAAGTAAATAAATAAATTCAACGTAATATAATTAAAATAATAATGGATATTTCAATATTTACACTCTCCAGTCTAATTCTACAAAATCTTGCAACATCTTTGAAAAAAACCGATGGCCAAATTCTGACCAATAGTGGCGCTCACTTGTATTTGAAGCGCTAATATCAGGAATTGGTTTATTAAATGATTCGACACTATAATATAAAATATTAGTTGTAATATACAACAAATAATAAAACCAATCTTCTATATATATATACAATAGAAGCATGACACGATGTAGGTATTCTTTGAGTTTGATTTATTCTTCTGAATCTTCATTTTTTATAACATTCAACTCTTTGGTGATATTAATCCAATCAGATATTTGTTTTTTCAGTCCATGTTCAGTTGTTTCCTATAAAATAATATTGTCAATAAATCATTGTTAAGATAACAAATATAATTACTAATATGTTATTGTCTTGTAATAGTTCTCTATTATTTTAATCCAATATATTGGTAATTCAACATTTCTTTTCGGCTTTATCAATAATAATTTCATATATTCATCCAATGTCAAAAACTTGGCAAAATCACTATCCCCACGAATGTCCATGACATCATCATATGCACAACTATAAATTGAAAAGGAATTAGTTATAACACTACATTGTTTCTTAAAGCAGTTCAAATACATACAAATATTTATTATTTTTTTCATGTTCTTTAAATTCTAGAAACTATGGAATAAAATCTTTAAAATACTGTTTAATATAAAATATTGAGTATTTGTTATATAATAATTATACAACAAACACCTTGGAATCATTAATAGTTGCCAAACTTTCAGCTAAAACTCTAAGAATATTTTCGTTAGATGTGATCATTATGGATTGAAAGGATGATGAGAAACATGTGTTGCTAACAATTTGGTGTGGAGGGGTTCGGAATCCATCTAAGTCATAAATAATGAAAATATAGCCGAATGAATCTAAATAAGATTAAAAAATATATAGAAAATCTTTCATACTTTTTCTTATAATGCTTTCATCTGTATGCTTGTTTCTCAAAATTATCCTTAAATATAAAAGTAGTGTTTAATATTAACTCTGTTTGCTGAATAACAACCAGATTTCAGAATATAATTATAATTAAATTACAATAAAGCATTATTACTATAGTAGAGTTTTCGCCACCATGATTGGTTTCATCAGCATGGTCTATTTTTTCAGAGTTAGTCTGTTTATATTACAAAAATATTCAAAATTTTAATAATATTAAAAAATTATGACTTAGCAATTATAAAATTCAATAGTCATTACTTTATGAGCTTTAACACGATTTGTCGTTTCTTTATTATTATCCAAAAATCTTTTTGCAATGCCTGTTGTAGTTGATATAGCATACTGCTGAACTTGCTCTGTTGTTACCTTAGCTATAGTTGCATGTTGAGCCACCTGTGTAATGGAATTAAGCATGAATTTCAGCCTAACATGCTAGATTATAAAATGATGATAAAGTAAAATACCTGAAACATTCTAATCTTAGCCTTTGATTTTATCTACCATTTCTGCTTTAGCATTTACATCTTGGCAATCCCAAAAATTATTAATAACCTTAGATCTTTTATCATTCTTAAAAAATAAAATTAAAAAAATAAAAATTAGTAACTACTACTTGTCAACTTGCTATAAGACTCCTAATAATATGCTCAAGCCATAGATAATCACGAACTCTTTGCGAGCATAACAGGTTCCAAAGTAGTTCGTTAAGCATTGCTTATTAACAGGCACGACGGACTTTCCCACTGCAAGCATGACAGGTTGCAGGGTAGTTGATGTACTTAGATTATTGAATGTTCTCACCGACAGACATGACAGACTTTCCCACTACAAGCATGACAGGTTGCAGGGTAGTCGGTGCACTCAGACTTTTGCAACTGTTCTGAAATGACAAATTAAATACTTTCTTTAAAAGTGACTTTCTATTTGATAATATTTTGTCCAAACTCTGAGGCTTCAGCGTAAAACTTGTTTATTGTAGTTAACTTATTCTTATATTGACTATATTCTGTTCTCTTATCATCTAACACACCAGTAGACAATCGAAAGTTCAAAAAATCGAAAAGTGTAGGTTCTTTTGTATTTTCCCAAAAAGCTATATATTTAAACAGCTGGTTAGTAAATGCTATATAATACTATGATGAGAAGTATAATTTGCCTTACTTTGGTACTTCAAAGCATTAAGACATTCAGGGATAAGTTGTATCCTTAAGAAAAATGATATTTTTTAATCGCGTGTAAGCTGTGGAAAAAAAAATGCATGGCAGATTCTTAATTTTGATTGGCTAAGGGCAACGAACAAAAAATTAGGCTAATGTTCCTAAAAAGTTCTATTTTTATGCTTTGGTATTGAGATTAGGTTTTTTTTAGAAGTTTAAATTAGATATTTTATATAGTATGTGATGTATAATATAATGTGTATATTTAATGGTAAATTTGATAAAAAGTTACATTGTGTAGATATTTGATTTTGGAGTGTTTGATGTTGTGGTTTTGTTAAGTTTTTTTTTTGGTTTTATCATTTATATTTTATTGTTTATTGCTTGTTATTGTTATTGTTTATTAATATTTGATATAATAATTGTGAAATATTGAATATAAATATAATTACTGTATAAGGTTAAGTAGTTTTGTGAAGTTTGAAGATCGTAAAGCTTTACAGACATAAATAAGATCAGGTAATTAAGGAATTTATTTATCAGATTTAGGGATTACATGTAGCATTAATATATTAGTCAATCGAGATGTTACATCTAATTTTTTATCATAAATTACACAAATTGATGAAATCACACATTTTTAAAATTTTCTACCCTGTCTTAGTAACAACATATAACATTTCTTAAACAAATAGGTTGCCAGAGCTTTAACAAATCAAACAGTATAAAGAATATAAAAAACTAATATTACTAGGTAATGTGAGACTCCTTCGAAGATAGGCAATTATTTTGCTTTTTTTTACAAGATTCTTTTGGAGTTTTCAAGACCTTGATGTGAAAAATAGCTTGTTAAATATGCATAAGTAAAAACTTTCTGTAAAATGCATCTTTGAAAAAAGGGTATCTTATAAAAATATAGAGTAAATTAAAAAAAACTTGTTTGTAGTATATAGATTGCAGTTTTGCTAATAAGGTTTTTTTTTTTTTTTAATATATAGCAATCTATATTTATGGCAAAACTATATTCTTCTATATTTATATTTTTGTATATTATGATTTATTATTCCAACAACACTTTATGAGAATCAATTAGTAGTTCCTTCATATACAGAACAATTTAGAATAATCTGAACTAATTTAGGAATTTTAAGACATTAAAGACAAATTCTTTTTATTTTAGAATAATCTGAACCCAAATTTTACTAGCAAGAGTACTTATTGTTATTATGTCATCAATTTAAAAGCTAGCAAAGTAATGATACAAAAATTTAGCAGTTTCATGATTTTTGAGGCTATAAACCACCAAATTGGGCATAAAACTATATTTTATAAAAAAGTTAAATATATGATTATTAATTGATATTAAATCTTAACTATAAATTACTATTCTCAGCCTGATTTTCTTTTTAATAATTTCCGATAATATAGCAATCTATTTGGTAACAATTTATGATTTTAGTAATGCAGAATAAGATTATAATAAGATATGATATAAAAAAGAATACTTATAATTTACTATTGTATTGATATAAAGTTAATAATATAAGAATATATAGTTTTTAACAATATGTTTAAATTACCTCTTGGTATAATAAAAATCATTTGGAAGCCAAAAGTAGCTATCTCTTCAAGTTATCTTCACATCATATAAAATTTAGGTAGTGATATCTAATGTCTGCAGTCTTAATCATAACTAAGAACATTAATTAATGTAATTTAAGAACTATTGAAATTATAAAATAGATTAGTCACAAGTATATCTATCAACTCTTCCCGACGATCACCTAGACCAAAATTTTCCGCTAAAGAAAAACCAGAACTACTTGTTGGAGAGTCGTGGCCTATACAGTGGTTTGTCTAGAGGTCAACTATACTCTC